TGTGTGTGTGTGTGTGTGTGTGTGTGTGTGTGTGTGTGTGTGTGTGTTGGTGCCTTCAAATGTGGTATGTCTGGCTGTGGAAGACAGAGGTCAACCTCAGCATAATTCCTCAGAATGCCAATCCTGTTTTTTGAGGCAAGGTCTCACAGTAACTTGCAACACGAAGCAGGCGAGGCTGGATGGCCAGCCAGCCCCAGGAATCTCCCTTTCCTTAAATCTAAGCACACACAAGCACACCTACCCAGCCTTCTGTGCGCATGCTGGGGCCAGGACTCAGGTCCTCGCACTGGGATTCCCAGCTCCTCCCTCCCTCTAAGATAAATTTATATTTACAAATTATACAAAGTGTTTTCAAAGGAAAGCATCCAAATAAGTTAGAAATTTCAAAAGAGTTTTCATTATTCTTCTGGCTCCCAGACCTTGGCTCTCTTGTAGATGTAGTGTATTTTAGCACGCACAGTATACCAGTGATATTAATAACCAAATCAGGTTTTGCTACTGCCAACCAGAAGTGAATCCCCACAGCGCCTCCCACACCGCCATCCCCCGTCTTTCCATGGATTATTTCATTACATCTCCTCAAGCCTGTGTACACTGATGAACTTATTTTATGACTAATTGAATCGGGAGGACAGAGAGCCAGAAGCGCACTCAGTAAACGCTGGCTTGGAATGCCAATTGAGATTGATTCAGGGGCCCAAGCTTTTAGATACTATCTTCTCCTGACGTTAAGGCTAACGCCAGATGACGTAAGTTACCCCAATTTCAAAGACATAACCCCGCCCCCACAGACACACACAGCAAGGCCCCCTCCACCACAACCTTTCACGGGTTCCACGGAGGATGCAAGTAAGATGAAAAGAGAAAGGTTAAAGAACCTGAAACAGCATACAACTTCAAGGTTAATTTCCCGGCCAGCCCTGAAATTAACCTTGAGGTCGAGTCATTTCCAGTTTCTAATTTTGAGAAATGAAGAGTCAGCCGGCTTTAGCTCTGGGACTGAAGCATATGACACAGCGCAAACGATGGAACATTTTTAGGTGAGGATACCACTCTCATTCAGGTAACCACGTGCCAGGCAAGTCACTAACCAGGCTCGGCCTCATGGAGACAGTACCGCTCTTGTAGGACATAGAGTTGGCACTTAGTGTATACAAAGGGCTGCACAGAGACGGCTACAACAAACATCACACAATCAATCAGGAAGCTCCCGCATTTCCCCGGAAACAGAGGGATGCCCGCAACCGTGCCATCTTATTGGTTACCCAGTAACCCTAGTCAGGACTGTGGCAGGACCAGGGCATCACGTTCTACCATGCAAGCTGCCGACAGGCACGGAGGCGAATGCCGCACACATTCACACGGGAGGCCAACAGCTGCAGTGCAGTGTGGACGATGCAGACACCCATGCCTGGAGTGGAGGCGGCTCAAGTACTTGCCTGCTGCCATCTTGAGCATCTCCTCCAAGGAACACTTTTCTTTGCAATAACACAGGCAGAGCAACGGTTCACAACCTTCCTAATGCTATGACCCTTGAATACAGCTCCTCATGCTCTGCTGACCTGCCCAACCATAAACTTATTTTTGTTGCTATTTCAAAACTGTAATTTTGCTACTGCTATGAATTGTGATGTAAATATGTGTGCTTTTAGATGGCCTTCGGCGACCCCTGTGAAAGAGTCATGTGAAAACACAGAACTGAACATACTGCTCAGATTCATTACTTGACTGTGTTCTAAACGTTTACAGACGCTACATAACTGCATAGCTACATGGCTACATAGCAACGTGCAGGCCGGCCTGGACAACAGGAGACTGTGCCGTAACAGAAGAAGAAACTAGGGCCAACAGTCCTTTGTGGCTTAAAAAGGACACCAGAGTTAATCTATAAACTTAAACTGTCACAGTTACTCACAATTCAAACAGGTTTTCAGTATGATAATCACTCACATTTTTGCTACATAAGGAAAAAAGATATCTTTTAAGGTCTATACATGTACATTATAGGCACAATTGGATGATGTCAGTCTGTGTGTATCTATGATGTATCTATGGGTTTGATAAATATTTTCTTAAGAAAGAGCAAACATTTATAATAACACAGGTAATGTCTTGCTTCCGGCTCAGGCATGATTACATGGCCCAGAGATAAAATGCAGGTAATAAAGAGGACAGAGCTGGCCCAGCTCCTGC